ACATCTCAACTCCAGACGGGGACGAAATTCCGACAACTAACATCAGTGATACTAACAGGCCTCGTCTCAAGCATTCAGAAGAAAAAAACTAAAGCTTTTGGGGGTTGATGGAATGATGTGGGGAAATAAAAGGAAAAGAGTTGGTCTAATTGACATTGTCTTACCTGCAGACCCATATTTCATGCTAATTTGCATGCATACCAGCCTGGTATCAGCTTTTATCATGCATATCAACTCACCACTTGATGGCATATCAACTCACCACCTGCCACTTTTCTTAAAATTATAAAAAAGCGTTGTTATAGGTGAAACCCAAAACTACCTGGGATCAACAGTAAATTGATGGTAGTTTCTTTCCCAGTGCATGTTGTTCCATGAATATCAACCGTCTTTGCTGTAGGGTGGGGACTTTTCCTTAGTTTCAAAATCAGAAGAAAAAAAGGACTTTGAAAAAAGTAATGTGTTAAGAAGGCACTGCACCACATGCATGCCTTTCTCAGCTATATGCATCACTTATTGGTCGCTTCACTTCACAGAAAAATAAAACTAAAAATTGGTTTACAAATGGATGAGCAGCACACATTTTAACATTTTTCGAGCAATTTATATCAACTCACCACCCCATATCAACTCACCCCGGTTTACGGTATCGCAAATATATCTGATGAAAGAGCTCAAAAAATATCATCCACTATCCAGGCTTTCAAACGGCACTTGAGCATCGATAAACTGGCACCTGGCAAATGCAGGGGTTTTCTAGCAGCCTCCCAAAACGTTAAAATGTCAGGCACCGTAGCTCGTAATATGACGCTTGAATTAATCGTTACACACATGAGCTCATTCTACTGTCCACAAACTTCCCTCAGTAGCTCACTACTCCTTGGCTTAAAAAAAAAATAGCACAATTTTTTTGGATAATACATGTATCCCGTCCATTGATCAAAATGATCCATTCGAATCCAGAATGAATAACGTAACCTACAGAAAATCGAATACAGTTATCATACCTACAGAAAATCGAATTTCACAACATGAAATACCTCATGCCAACAAACAACCCACTTAAACTTATCCTAATGTTTCTTTCCTGTGTCACCGTGACGTTGCTATGATCATGAATCCACTGCGTGCTGGTCGTCTGAGAGCATCGTTCGACCGTCACAACACTGGGATTTACAGGTGTGGCCCTATCGGTCGGCGCTCGACAGCTGCGGTGGCGAGCTCTGCGGGTGTGGTGGTGGGCCTGACCCGGGTACAGCCACACCAAGGTCGGCCACCATCGCACCATGGACGGTCACGTGACCGTGTTTATGACGCACTCTCAGTGATCGGCACATGACCGCTTGCCGGCCAGGGGCGAGACAATCGCAGTTGTTTCAACAAGCGTGAGATTGGGTCATGAGGTAATAACAAAACAGCTAACATAGACAAAACATACAAGTCAAGCAAACCAGTAAAAAAGCATTCACATATGTCCCTTTGTTAACATCTTTCAAAATTATGTAAGCCATTATTGATAGTTTATCTCACTGAACAGGCATATTGACTGAAAACGTATATTGGCTGAATCTTGCATAATAAGCACAGTCAAATTTATATAGACAATTGGGCTCAAACTTCAAAGTGACATAGACAACCAAATTGTTTCTTGAATTTCAATAAGGGTTACCGCAGATTAAAGGGACCCTCCCGGCTCCCACCTTCAAAAAAGTTTATGAATTGGCATGAAAGTGATGTCGCTCGGTTCAGAAAGAGCGAAAACGAATATCTACCAAATTTCACCGAAAAATATTCACCGGTTTTCAATATATTAGACTTTTACTTTTGTTTACTTTTTTGGGATCTCCGCTGTTTCTAGCGACTTTATTTTAGAAGTGCGGCGTTTGCGGCAGATGTTGCGCGCAAATAGCATATACCACCGCGTGCTACAAAACGTTTTAGTCAAACATTTAAAAATCGTTAGATATCTGCGCTGACGTCACACATTCAGAGGGGTATTCCTAAGCATTAGCGCCTCTGAATCAAAATGCTGCAATTTTGAAATTCAATATTTCCGATTTATGGCATTTCTCGATGTTGTGAGTGCCGAAACCGGTAAGTGTGAGCCAGGGACCCCATTTTGACTATCTCAACTCAAATCTAATGTTAACCCGCGCCCCGTTGGGCTCTGCCGAGCAACGCGCCCCGTTGGGGGGGGGGGGCATTTTGCCCCCCCCCCTAAGATCTCGAGAACCACGCAACATAGCGACAAGCAGTAAACGGCGTTGGATAGCCCCAACGGGGAACTACCTTGTGACCCAATTTTATTGACCTAGGTCAAACCGATGACGTCACAGGTCAGGTCAAAGGTCCAATTTTCACCGTTTACAGGCATTTCAAGAAATGCGTTGTAAAATCGAGTAAAATGCATTTCATTGAAAATCGTCGATGGGGAAATGTTCTTCAAACACATATTTTGCTATTTGAGGTCACTGATACCAGGTCAGGTCACAGAGGTCAGGTCACGGGGGGTCAAAATATGAAAGTGTCGTGTGATACATGTTTTATGGTCCATTTTACATGACAAATGCGATTATATGGGTCAGGCAGCCTTTGGGGCCAGCTTAGGTCACGTTTTGGTCAAGGTCAGGTCAAGGTCAGGTCAAGGTCAGGTCAAGGTCAGGTCAAATTAGGTCAAATTTCAAAGTTAATGTTTTTGCATAAAATGGGTATCGAATCGATGCAGCTCGTCACGGGGAGTTCAATGGTCGTCTTTGTTTTGCCGTACGTGGTCTAGAATCGCTATAAATTGAGTTAAAAAAATTTGACGTCATCATTTTTGAACAGTTTTTTCGCTATAACTTGGCCAAAAAACGAGATATCGATCTGAAATTTGGTATGTATATAGAAGAGCGCTGGGGCTATCACACATATTCCGTTTTTTTTTTTCGCAATTCGGAAAAAATTTGGATTTTTTAAAAGTTTTTCTAAACAAAATCAATTTTTCTATTTTTTTTGTCAAAAACAAAATTTTTTTGATTTTTTTTTGGTCAAAAACAAAAATTTTGAAAATCGGAGATAGCAGTTTTGTAGCGCCGCTTTTTGTCTACTAGACCATATAAAGAACTTTGAAATTGCTTGATAACTGTAGATTTGGTGAGCGTTTCAAGATTGCATGTTTTTTGCTCATTTTTGCTCGAACATGACCTCAGTTTGACCTCAATAACTGCTGACCCTAGGTGACCTAAGACTTGAAATTTGGTGTGAAGGTGTCAAATTGATGCCCGGGAAGGTACTGAAAATTTGGCGGCGCTGCGCGCCGCCGTTTTCTTGCTATTCAGGAAAAACCACAGGGGGGGGGGGGGGCCAAAATGCCCCCCCCCAACGGGGCGAGGGTTAAGGTGGGAGGGTCCCTTTAAGTCGGTTAAATGATCTCACCAATCTTACTCTAAACGTGAAATAGGTAATCGCTACTTACCTAACTCCGAAAACATAAAATCCCATTTCGAGCACTTGTAGTCTTGGAATCATGTTCCTAATGCAAGGCTCGATAGGTATATGAATTTTTTCCTTTTGAATCTTGCATAGAGCCGTGCGCGATATTTCAAAGATGCTCTGAAGTCATCGGAGTGTTTCGTCGAGCACTACTGACTCAATTGAGCTAGCGAGTGAAATAAAAAAGGATGCCAATCGAAAGATACGGAACATGGCATCAGACCCTCCCATGCAAACATAAATACTGACTTGACTGGCGAAGACCTTAGGTCAATAACCAAATTAACCTTTCCCAAACAAAAGGTATGTCACTCAACGCGGCTGTCATGTCAAACGTACCTAATGGTAGAGGAGAGTGATCTAAATTGGCCGTTTGGGTTAATTGACCGCCCAAATGTAAATTGACCAGTGCAATAACTGACACTTAACCCTCGCCCTGGCAGGGCATTTTTCATAACACGGCCTGGCAGGGGGGGTCGATGCGACCCCCCTCGCGATTGGCTCCTATGGCATCTAGAAACACCAAATTTGGTAGGTAGGTGGGCCCCCTGGAGTTCTCGCCCCTGTGCAAATTTGGTTGCTCTAAGTCAATATTTAGGGGGATTTGGGGGGGTATAAATGTCAAAATTTCGCTAAAAACAGGTCAAAAGTTTTTCGCCTATAACTTTTAATCTAATTAAGATAGAGCAAAAAAGCACCAGTGAACTCAGCACGTCAAGGCGCGTCGAATGATGTACTTTCAAGCTTGCTTAAGTGTACTTAAAGTTTTTCTTTATTTTTAAGTATACTTTAATTAATTAATTAAGTTCAAGTTAACCAAATTGCATCATATTGCATATCATTCGATTCGGCTGATCACCAGGAACACAATGACACCATTGTTTAAGCTCTAGCGTCATTATGTGCCAAGTTATTGGCAAAAACGTCATTTGACCTCAGTTGACCTCATTTGACCTGACCCATGGATAACTACACCAAACAAAGAAGCACCAAGTGACCTGCTGTTAAATACTGTGGTTTTAAAGCACAAAAGTGATAGAACGAAGCGGATATCTCCAGTATTTTCCGAATTTAGTATTTTCCCATAGGCTTAACATTACGACGTAATGACCTCTAACTGACCTCAGGTCAGTGACCTCAAAAAACCCAAACTATATGCTATACAACTCGGTGAACTTTGCACATCCTGAACGTTTGAAGGAAATCAGTCAAAAACTGTGAGTTGGACAGCTGCAAAAAGAAAATTGAAATTTGACCATGACCTTGTACCTACCGGTTTTTCTGACCTGGTGACCTGACCCAAGGTCACCTGGACCTGAAATTTTCCGGTAATGTGTAAAAAGGTTGCCCCATAGGCTGTGCGAAATTTGGCCGTCGCCCGCCGTTTTTACGCTATCTTCGAAAAACCTTAGGGGGGGGGGTCGCATCGACCCCCCTGCCAGGGCGAGGGTTAAGTTTAAAAAAAGAATCGAGCTCTAAGCTGCTGACAACAATACTAAACGGTTCGGTTGTTTGAATTGCGTAGTGAAGAATGAAATTTTGTATCATCGTTCTGGCAAATAACGCTTTAGGACCTGAACACCGTTGATCATATTACCTGATAAGCGAGCACACTGGTGCGAGTAACAAGGGGTTTAATTTCCACATTGAGAAAACTTCACATGACTAGCTAAAGGGCCAACCACATCACCGTAAATGCATGCCGAGCAGCGGGGTGCCGCAACTTTCGGGGTAGGTATATGCAAAGCTGTTCAATAATCAACCTCCCGTATCAGCTATGGCCTATGCATCATTTCGCCACATTTCCATCCAGGTAGTGACGTCACAGCCAACATCCCCATGCACTGATTCAGCCGAACTGCAAGTCAAAAGCGACTATGCGCGTGACTGGTAGGTTGGCAGATCTTACGAGGCGACGCAGCTGGGATTTCCCACGCGCGGCGGAGTCTCACGTCGTCCCGCCGACGTCCGCTGGTATATAACCGGAGGGGGCGTCTGCCAACATTCGACAGTCGTGGTCCGATAGAGGAGGGTTTTGCTCCGTCTCAACAGGACACCTCAGGTGAGACATGGCGCTAGAATAATGTAGCAGATGATTCCATTCGTGTGGGCCACATAATGTACAAAGACTTATACAGAAAAAGTCAATGTCCAGAAGTACTGCATCTAATGATGGAGCGGAGCAACGGGTAGGTCTGTGGCCGTTCATTGATTCACAATAATACATGTTGTGTCAAGCGCGAGTCCTTTAGAAGCAAGAAACTCAATGGGAACCTTTATTTTCGATTCATTTATAGGTAAGCAAAGTCCCTGACCTGTCCCGGCGTGCTGCCTATTCGCCGTTATATCCCGGTGTGTTCTATCTCTCCGTTCATGTATGTCCCGCCGTGTTCGGCAGCCCTGCGCGATGTTGCCCCTGCTGCTGGCGTCGCTGGCGGCCGCCGTGGCCGCCGGGCCGGTCTCCGACCAGCTCAGTGTCACCACCTACAACGAGGGCAAGACGGCCCTCTCCGGAGAGGTCATCTTCGAGGACAACTTTGACGAGCTCGACATGGTCACCTGGCAGCACGAGCTCACACTCTGGGGCGGCGGCGTAAGTGACTCTTCATCCGGAAATGACAAACGAAGGCATTGCTGTCTATTGCCTGTATGTAAAGCACCGATCAATCGTCAAAAGTCATGGCTTGTTTCACTGGCACATGTGAAGCATATGCCACGTGTCAAAAGCTACAGTCTGAAATTAAAGAGGTCTTTCATCACAAACAAGTTTTTGTAGTGATCTGATAACTTGTATTATTCTATAGGAATTCGCATTACCTACTTCATTTAAATGAGCTACAAGTAACCAATACCTATTCAGATGTGAAACTTATTCACTAACCGGCATTTCCCCTCTGTTCACCGCAGAACTGGGAGTTTGAGGGCTACAACAACAACCGCACCAACAGCTTCATCCGCGACGGCGTGCTCTTCATCAAGCCGACGCTGACTGCCGAGCGGTTCGGCGAGGAGTTCCTCTACTCGGGCACCCTGGACATGAATGGCGGCGCGCCCTATGACCAGTGAGTACACCGCGGCACATGTATCATACTTGATCCAAACGGAGGTTAATAATGTCCCTCTCTGGTGTCCTGGTGTGCCAGTCGGTCAGTTTTTTTCAACCAGTCTTGCCAGTCTTTGCACTGATTACCGGCTCTGTCGTCCCCCAGGTGCACGTGCGCCCTGAGCTACGGCTGCAGCCGCACCGGCAGCGCGGACAACATCATCAACCCGATCATGTCGGCTGCGGTGCGCACGCCACTGTCCTTCAGCTTCACCTACGGCACGGTCGAGGTCCGCGCCAAGATGCCGGCTGGAGACTGGATCTGGCCCGGTGAGTCGGGAGCGATGAACCTCAGCACCGCAGTCGGGATAATGATATATTGTGACGGGATAGTGTGAATTATACACTACTTACCTACTTGGTTACAGGCGACAGCCTTTCACGCTAGATTATTCACTTTCATGCCCATTTACGAGTGTTCGTAAGCAACTAAGCGCTGCAAAACTAATCTCCGTGATTATTCACCAAACTGTCTAACTGAAGTCGTATGGTCCACATGAATTTCGCACACTTTTGATTTCGACAATCCTAAGGTGGGTCCCCGAGTTCCAGGCTCCGACACCCCTCCCAAGAGGAGCTATCCAAACGATTCACGGTATTCTGACCGTGGGCTGCAGCCATCTGGATGATGCCCGTCCGCGAGGCCTACGGCAACTGGCCTACCTCCGGTGAGATCGACATCGTCGAGAGCCGCGGCAACAAGGACCTCAGCTGCGGCGACGGACCCCAGATCGGTGAGTGGCCGGTTCGGATCGATGCGGTCCGTATTTCTCTCAAACTAACCTAAGAGGCACAACCATCAAAACGAAACTACGATAAGGTAACTGGGAAAACTAAAAAGAGGGCAAACTATTTTGGCGATGACTACACCTTAATACGCTCAAGGATATAGTATCCATAGTAAAATATTCCTACTCGAGAGCCAGCATCACCACCAAATTAAAGTAATTTACTAAATGTACCACAGCTTCAATAGCTTATGCGCCAATCGATAGTCGTCACAAGAAAAACCAGCCACCACTGTTCACCGTCTGTGTCTCCGTATTGAACCGTCCCGTCGGGTGATCGATCATTCACGCTGTGTGTTACAGGCACCCAGCAGGTTGCCTCCACGATGCACTGGGGCGCCGACTTTCCGTCCAACCAGTGGCCGCTCACCCACTACGAGCTCAACGACGAGGCCGGCTTCGACACCGACTTCCACATCTACAAGGTCGTCTGGACGCCCGGTACGTCACCCTGTGTGGGGATGTGCGAGATCGTTACAAAGTCCTCTGGCTGATGGTGCTGACTTTGTGATATTCGGCTCTCACGGGCCTTGTGACATCAGCAATCGACTGTTTTAATGACACCCGTCTTGACTTGTCATACACGGTGCATGGTTTCGTTCACATAAGCGTTCGGCTTGAATGAATCATTTGTACTTTTCCATTGCATATTACCTCATTAATATCACACTCCTAACTTTTGGTGCCCGTTTCAGACGGTCTGACTTTCTCCGTCGATGACAACGAGATCGGCACGGCCGCCCCGCCCGAGGGAGGCTTCTGGGAGATGGGAGGTTTCGACCAGGACACCTGGAGGAACAACCCCTGGGCCGGACGCTCCAAGATGGCACCGTTCGACCAGCCGGTACGACATAATAAACTTTTACAGTGGACTGACGTGAACTAACAATGCTAATAATCTATGAGGAGGCTGATGAACACCTACCTTCGACAAATAACGATCACTGTATTGTAAGACGATACATATCTGTGCTAGCCTGACTACTTCTCTTTCTGCCGCGCAGTTCTACATCAAGTTCAACGTCGCCGTCGGAGGCACGGGCGGCTTCATTCCCGATGGATGCACCAATGGCAACGGCGCCAAGCCGTGGTCCAACACGTCGCCCCACGCGCCCAAGGAGTTCTGGGAGGGCCGCGACCAGTGGCTGCCCACCTGGAACGGCGACGACACCGCCATGCAGATCGACTATGTCCGCGTTACCGCTCTGTGAGCGCAGCACAGTAGCACCCCAGTGACATCATCAAGGGAACTACCATCGTTCGTTGTGATGTAACAGGTTAGGAGCCATGCGATAATAACACACAGAGAAACCCAATGGAGAACGATGTTTGGCGCCGACGTTCAGCGATGCGTTCAAGTACGTATAGATCGGTTTTGTTAGCGCTGAAGATTTGATAAGGGTTCAAAGATCCCGTTTGTGGGTGAGTGATACCACAGGATATTCTTGTCTGATCCGACAGCTCTTGTATTTTTTTTTTGCGGTCAGTATCAGTGGCATCACTTTACGTCGTGCTCTCGCAGCAGGGTAAGGATGGAGGAAGAAACCCGTGAGAATACGACTAAGCTGCGTTAGTTACGAGCTTAAATAATTATTTATTTATTTTTGTACAAATGTGCAAGCCAAATAAATGGATCGGTTTTGTTCGTGTTCGTTCTTTTAAGTATCGAACACAATTCTTTTCTCCTTAAAGTTCGTGAAATGCATTACGAAAGAAGATTGATCGTTTACGGCTTTTAAGTTTGGGCATGTTCGGGTAGGGGAATCTGTCATCAAAAGTTAAATTTCCCTTTGATTTTAACGGGGACAAAATCGGAAACCGAAAAACAAGCTGAACAGCTGAGATAATAATAAGTAGGTACCGGCGTAGTATTCAGCTCAGCCCCGGTCTTAAATAAATGACACACGACAAATACATAAATCACAGCGGTACTAGACCGATGGGTCTGGGACTAACCTGGGAAATGACTCCATATTCCGCTCTTGGACGATAGTAATCCTTGTGGTAGAAGTTGAAGTCTCTGCGCTGAGCTAACGCAGTCCACAGGTTTACGTCCTCAGTCTATGACGAAAGCTTTCCGGTCGACGCACGCGTCACAACACGTCAACACCACACACTTCACAGCACAACACTAAATAAGGCCGAGCCGAGTGGAACACAATCACCATTCACCACATCGTACCACCGAAACAATGCGGTTCGTTTGAAACAACAATTCGCACTGTCAATGTTCAAACGCACATTGACATCACGGGACACTCAGTGGAGAGTTGGCTCGCTGCCAAGGAGTCCGACCGCCCCGGGCGATGGTCACATGATTTAATTGCGGGCAATGATTGGCTGGCGGAACCGGATGGCGACAACTGACCAAGGCCGTATAAGAGAGGTAGAATCATCCCGCAATTTCCAATGGACCGGTCGCTAAGCATTAGCGTGACGTCACTGGTGGAGACCGCGCGGCGCCCGGCTCCAAGCCGTACGTCGGGTACATTTGGCACTTCATCGTTGTTATTACTGAACGTAACGACAACTTATGACCCTTAATAACTTTTTTACCCACCTAAAGCTGATTTCCTTGCCGATACATTGCCGACCCGAGCCCCACGGTTGACAATCTTGGGATATGGGTCGGATGGGCGACCTCGCGACGGGAGAAGGAACGATTGGCAATTGTTGTGTCCCGCACCGCCGATTGCATTCTCTATCTGTACCCGGAGGGGGGGCAGGGGGCACGTGCCCCCATCGGATCAGGGGGCCTCTCGGGCCCGAGGGGCCCTGCAGGGCCCCTTGGCGTCGCATGCGACGCCAATTGGCGGCTGAGGGTCCACGCTGGCATTTTCGACTCAGAAGGGCCCCACAGGGCTCTAAAGAATACCTTATGTGCTCCGAATAGCCACACTTCTCTCCATAAGAGCCACACACCGGCTTTTTATTGTTCCTTGTCGGCATTTGAGGGCCCCTTGCCGGCCTCTCAGGGCCCATTGGCGACCTCTGAGGGCTACTTGCCGGCCTCTGAGGGCCCTTACCGGCCTATCAGGGACCAGCAGCTCTAAGGGTTCCACACACGCCTGTGATGACCCCCTAAACCAATGGTTGAAGGCCCCCACAACCAGTGGCGGCGGAAGCAGGGGGGCAAGGGGGGCAGCTGCACCCTAAAGCTATGGAAAGGGGCGCCTCGAAAATCTGTAGAGGAGGCAGGAAGTTAAGAGGTGCGGCAGCCATAAAGCTGAGCAGTGCGACACCGCAACTGATAAAGGCACTTGTGACACGAAGAGGGTGGCAATGACGTGGGAAAAGTATCTTTTGATATGCTGAAGAGTGGAGGGCATCCTTATCTGAAACAAAAGCAGATGTTGCCGACCCTGTCGAATATAATCTTGCCAGGCGATAAAGGCTAGGAGGGCGCAACCACTCGAGAAGCGCGCCATGCGGAAGAGGGGCGCCTGCATGCGAAAGAGGGGCGCCTGTGTGTGGGACGAAAAAGAAACATTTATGGAGACGTCTTTGAAGGCGATAGCCTCCGAACACCAACACGAACATATGAGGGCTTATAGCGTTGCAGGCTCCATGCGACAAAAAGGAGCGCCTGATGGCCGATATGCGAGAGGAAATTAGTTTGTGTAACATTTATCGGGGGCGGTTTGCCGTTTACAACATATGAATGTTAAGGGAGGTCCGAGATTGGGGCCTGTAAAATTGCACTGTCCGTATGGGCGGTTACACCCCTAGTGCTAGGGCGTATTTTGCTATTTTTTTTTTTTTTTTTTACTAGGGAGATGATTATGACCAGGAATAGCACTCTGCAAACTTCTATGGGCGCCTGTATAGGGGCGAAACTGATTTTCCAGTGCAGGGACGGCCATCGGCATTGTGGGGCGGCATTCATTCCACTGGGGCGTCTGCCAGTGTTGAAGGGCGGTATTCATTTCAATGGGGCGCCCGTTGGTGTTGATGGGCGACATGTATCACCTGGGGCGCCTATCGGAGATTGGGGCGGCATTAATTTCACTGAGGCGCCTATCGGCGTTGACGGGTGGTATTTATTCATCCGGGGCGCTTATCGGTGGTATAGGCCGGCATTCGGTTCACTGAGGTACCTATCGGTGTTTAACCCTCGCCCTGGCAGGGCATTTTTCATAACACGGCCTGGCAGGGGGGGGGGTCGATGCGACCCCCCTCGCGATTGGCTCCTATGGCACCTAGAAACACCAAATTTGGTAGGTAGTTGGGCCCCTTGGAGTTCTCGCCCCTGTGTAAGTTTGGTTGCTCTAGGTCAATATGTAGGGGGGGTTTTGGGGGGTATAAATGTAAAAATTTCGCTAAAACAGGTCAACAGTTTTTCACTTATAACTTTTGATCTAATTAAGATAGAGCAAAACGAAAAGCACCGGTGAACTCAGCACGTCAAGGCGCATCGAATGATATACTTTTAAGCTTGCTTAAGTGTACTTAAAGTTTTTCTTAAGTCAACTTAAATTAATAAATTAAGTTCAAGTTAACCAAATTGCATCATATTGCATATCATTCGATTCGGCGGTTCACCAGGAACACAATGATACCATTTTTTAAGCTCTAGCGTCATTATGTGCCAAGTTATTGGCAAAAACGTCATTTGACCTCAGTTGACCTCATTTGACCTGACCCATGGATAAGTACGCCAAACAAAGAAGCACCAAGTGACCTGCTGTTAAGTACTATGGTTTCAAAGCACAAAAGTGATAGAACGAAGCGGACATCTCCAGTATTTTCCGAATTTAGTATTTTCCCATAGGCTTAACATTACGACGTAATGACCTCTAACTGACCTCAGGTCAGTGACCTCAAAAAACCCGAACTATACAGGGTGTCCCATAAGTTCCTTCTCACCTAAATTTTTCTTTAAGAGGCTCTCTTATTTAAAGCCACGCTTAATTTATTTTGTAACTGAGCTTTTGGGTTTGCCATGGCAACTGTGAATGTGCTCCACGGTAACTAATTCGTCTAGACAAAATATTTTTTGCCAGAGAGTTCACTTCCTTTGGAGACGGCTTACGCCGCAACATAGAGGTCTCTGATACGGGAACGTCTCGGTATTTAGACCGCACTGGGCCATTTACGACGGTTGAGGGTGATTGAGGCCATCCAGTATGTAGCCAATGTCTGTCGCTAACTGGACGCACAGTCAACAAGTGACGCCGATGATTTGTCGGGAGTCAATCGCTGCAAGTTTATGCTCTTTTTTTGTCAGCTTTCACGAGTGAGCCATGTGGCCAAAACTGTGTGGCGCCAAAATGGCCGTCAAAAAGGTCTTAGCGTTAGAAAGTTGGTAAACAGGCTTTTCAGGATGTATTACCAGCTGTCTAAGAGTATCATTTCGGGGTACCTAACTCAAGGTGACTTAAGCTCTACTTACCGGAGGGCTCAAAACAGTCAAAAACGTCTTAAAATGGCCAAACATGTGTTTCGTTATGCCTGAGGCTAAAAAACTGGAGGATCTATGACATCAATGTGGTCATCTGGACTACCTAGTCCGTGCTCGAGATAAAACACCCGTCCGAACCCCAAAACGGTCCCATATGGGCGACGGAAAAGGCCTTTGTGTCATCCAGCTTTATTCCTATGCAAAAGGCCAGGGTCACGGTAATGTGGGGTAATATGCGTCCAGACTCCAGACACTGATCACGTTGCGAATGATGCTCTAGAAACAGTCTTGGGACGCAGAATGCTTCTCCAAGAAGATCTAGGAGGAGTTTCAGCTTTCTAGCTTAACTTGAACCGCAAGTATGACACTATGACCACATTTTTTTTAGTAGAAAATGGCATCCGGGAGGTCGTAGGCCCATCTTCAAGCAAGACAGTGCATCAGTGCAGGGGTCAAGCAAAGCATAAAAGCAGTGCCAGGAGACTGTGATAGGCGTGTGTGGCAAGATCACATCCCAGGCAACTCATCGGATCCAAATTTCATAAAAATGTGTTGGGAATATTGAAATCGAGGCTCGTCGAAGCGAAGCGGTGTTCCAGCATTGAGGAGCTCACGGCGCATGCCAAGTCAGTCTGGGCTAACTTCAAGCCTGCTATGCTGCCAAACATGCCGGTTGGCATGTCGCAGCATGTATTCATGTGTTTGCTCATGAAATGGGGAGCACATTGAGGGGTTATAAACATATCAAAACGCAATGTACTATGTTTTACATGCAAACAAAAGGTGAGAACGAACTTATGGGACACCCTGTATGTTATACAACTCGGTGAACCTAGCACATCCTGAAAGTTTGAAGGAAATCAGTCCAAAACTGTGAGTTGGACAGGTGCAAAAAGAAAATTGAAATTTGACCATGACCTTGTACCGGTTTTTCTGACCTGGTGACCTGACCCAAGGTCACCCGGACCTGAAATTTTCAGGTCATATGTAAAAAGGCTGCCCCATAGGCTGTGCCAAATTTGGCGGCGCTGCGCGCCGCCGTTTTTACGCTATCTTCGAAAAACCTTAGGGGGGGGTCGCATCGACCCCCCCTGCCAGGGCGAGGGTTAAGGCGGCAGTAAATCCACTGGTGTCTGGGGCGCCTACCGGCGTCGAAAGATGCGGAGCATCTTATGATATGGTGATGAGGTTGTTTCTAAACGAACATTATGGAGGTTACATTTACGCTATGGAATGTAGCTAACTATTTCTCGTTACATAAAAACTGTAATTCTGAACGTGTTAACAGGTACAACACATTGTCAAACGTCTCTTCACTGTTTGTGTTACTACAACCGTGTATATGGTATAGGGGCGCCCAGGGGGAAGGGGCGCTTCAATATCGTTTGCACCCCTATCCTAAAATACCTTCCGCCGCCACTGCCCACAACGGCGCCTGCGAGGGCCCTCACCGGTGGCTGTGAAAGCCCCAAACCGGTGCCCAGCTGAGGGCCCCACACTGGCACCTCTGAGTTCAACCGGCATCCCTGAATGAAGTTCCAAAGGCCCAAACCAGTGCTTCTTCTAGAAATTGAATTTGCCGTGGGACCTTGAGGATCCTGGATCTTGATTTTTGGTCACGGCACAAGTCTGTTCTTAAGGCCATATATCGGCGGCTCTGAGGGCTCAACGCCGGAGCCTCTTACGGCCTAAGACGGGACCTTCGCATCGGACGGCCACTCACCGGTGACTTTTGAGGACCCCACACCGACGACTCTGAGGGCCCCCACCGGCGTCTGAGAGTACCTTGCTGGTCTCTGAGGACTCCGCAGGGCTCCTGAAGACACCGCAGACCTCTTGAGGGCCCCTTGTCGGTCTCTGAGAGCCCCTGTCGGCTTATAAAGGGTTCGAGCCAGCAGCTCTAGGGGTCCCGCACCCGGCTGTGATGACCCCACACTGCAGTTGAGGGCCCACAGGCCACAATGGCAACTGTGAGGACCCTCACCAGCGCCTCTGAGGGCCACACACTAGCACCTCAGAGGGCCCGCAGCGGTACCTCTGGGGCCCCGCACCAATGCCTCCGAGGGCCTCACACCGGTACCTACCTCTGAGGGCCCACACCAGTGCCTCCAAAGGCTTCATAACCGGTGGCCCTGAGGGCACTACACCGGTGATTTTTGGGGGCCTACCGAAGGCACAACACAATCCCTTAGTCTCGCTGAGTTTCTATCCCAATCCCATACCGGCTTCTATCCCAATTCCGGCTCAACTAATTAGCAGCCCCCCCCCCCCCCAATGGGTCAGCGGCGCCGCGCCGGTGTCGGTGCCGGGGGCCAGCGCCATCGGGGCGGCAGTCGGCCACGCGCACTCAATGGTTAGCGCTTAGCACCGGCGGCTAGCGCACGCCCGGCGTGTTATTGGCCGTGAGCCGCTCCAAAACGGCTGAAGTAGCTGGTCGATATAGGCATTAAGCAGATGAGAAGATGCAGGTGGATTAATGACCGGCAAGCTTTTGTGCTTTACGAGGGCGAAGGGTCGAAGTCGGCTGCTAAGCCGTGAGCGGATTTTATCAGATGCCGGTTCACTATGACCTTTATCCGGGTCCTGGTCCGCTGACGCACTCTTGGAGAGCCGAATCACAGCAAAACTTCATCCACGACTGTACTTACGGCTTACGCTTTTCTGAAAACGTCTGCGTTTGGCCTACGGGCCCGGCCGGCCGGCCGGACGGCCCCGATTGGCGATCCACCAGTGACGTCACTGGTAGTGTTAAGCTGATTGGCGAATAATGCATGGGGAAAACCGGGACGACATCCCCCTGCAACTGACCCGGGCCGAGCTCAAGGACAAACTGAACGGTTAACAACAAGCGGGATGTAAACGGATACGGGAATTTCATTGCGATGCAAATAAGGAGAGCTTGTGACGTTACTGGAGTAACAACGCTCATGAACACATAAGACATGGCATAGATTTTCATTCAGTTGTGAAAAAATCAATCAATCGAAACATCTGACTTTAGCTCTTTATCTCATTATAATTGTTGACGCCTTAGGTACTCCTTACTTTATATCGGAAGTCGGATAAAATAAATCGGATTTGACCAGCCAGGGCCGGGGTCAAATAAAAGGGGTAGGCAAACGCCTAAAATGATTTTGTCCACGAGCGAAAAAAAAAAACATTTCTCCCCCCCCCCCCCCCCATCCAGACTATGCTAATTTATCGGTCCGGGAGAAAGTGGAGTTAATCAGCCCACAGTCTATGCCTACTGGCCGACAAAACGTGAATCCAATGATTATACTCCATTATCATTTATGGCGTGGTACTCCCTATGAATTCTCAGAAAGTCAATTTCAGGTCGCTAGCCCAATTTTCGTACAGAGCAGAAAAATGACGAGGGCACTGAACCGCTCACTCCGTCTCCTCCTCCGACCAGTAAAAGGGTATATGATCGAAACATTTTCTTACACAAACAGCAGCACCGAAAGAGGTCAAATTAATAGGCCATGTTTGAACAATAAATTGAGCCGACTGGTCATCTGTGATGATAGCGTGCCCACTCATCACGTCATGCGACGACGGTGCAGGTGGTGAGTGTGCGGCCGATTGAGTATCGATCCTGCACTGTTTACATCGGAGAACCCACCTGAAGGCACAACACTGGGTCGGGGGACGGGTCGGAAACCAGGACAGCGAGAGGTCGGTGACCGGAACGGGGAGCGGACGGCTGTTGCTCGCAAGCCCGCACGGGCTCCCGAGGAACATCCACACCCGATGGGTTATGATATCCATTCCTTCCTCACACAAGACACGGCGGAAGGGTGACAAGTGACAGCCCGCCTGTTTGTCGCCTGCCACCCTCATGTTGACGTCTACCAATACCACCCTCCCGTCTCCGGTGGGTGTATATAGTCCGCTGGTCGCCTGAAAGTGGCATCAGACCCCTGTGGATCCTTAGCCGCTCCACCATGCACCCGCTGCGTCTGAGTCTGCTGCTGCTACCGGCGGTGACGACTCTTGCCTTCGGGAGGCTGCCGGAGTCGCTCCTGAAGATGCTAGAGATGCTCAGCCGTGAGCCGAGGTCACTCGGAGGTTTAGCTCAGTTTGTTGTTAACGACAGTCGTACCACCGCAATGTCGCCGGTCGATGTTAGCGGGAAGAGAGCTGGTATACCACCACAGCCGCTACCATTCTGGGCAAAACGCTCCAAAGAAGCTAATGACGACTCAGACTTTCAAGCGCCACCATTCTGGGCCAAACGTGGCAATGACGAAGCCCAAGACACCGTCAACGACTCGCTGACTGGTTCACAGAAGCGATCCGAATCCATAGAACAGTCGCCTCCGCGAGGTCGGCCGCCCATGTGGGCCAAGCGATCTCCTCACTCGGTCATGTCTTCAAAGCCTCCGGTCAAGCGTGACGCATCACTCATATCCGTCACCAACGACGTTACCTCCATCATCGATGACGTCACTGACGACGAGTTCGGCGTGCCGCTGACTCCCGACGACTTCCAGGCGGCCGTCCGTCTGGAGGCGGACGCTCTGCTCTCTGCGCCCGACGCTGGCGACCCCACCCAGCTGGCCGGTCTTTACGAGGGAGACATCGCCGGAGTCAGCGAGGAAGGCAAAGACCTGGAGACCGCAGGGGGTGACAGCGGTGGGAGGGTCCGGAACGCCGTGCGAAATCGGCACCAGCTGTGGCCAGGAGGTGAGATCCCCTACACGATCGCCTCCACGTTCAGCGACCAGGAGCGCGCAGTTATCGCCGCTGCCGCGCAGCAGCTGTCTCAGCGCTCCTGTCTGAGGCTGGTGCCGCGCTCCGGCCAACGCGACTACGTTCACATCAAGAAGGGTCGGGGCTGCTCGAGCGACGTGGGACGGTTCGGCGGTCGCCAGGAGCTCTCGCTCGGTAATGGCTGCGTATACCGCGGTGTGGTAGCGCATGAGCTGCTCCACGCGGCCGGATTCTGGCACGAGCAGAGTCGAGCCGACCGCGACAATCACGTGATCATCCACCGGGAGAACATTCGCGCTGGCATGGCCTACAACTTCGACAAGAAGCCCTGGAGCCAGACGCTGGACCTGGGCGAGCCGTATGACGTGGGCTCGGTCCTGCACTACGGACCGACGGCGTTCGCAGCGGACCCCAGCCGACCGACCATCACCGCGCTGGTGCCGAGCTCGCGCATGGGTCAACGAGACGGTCCCTCCGACCTGGACATCGCCAAGCTGAACCGACTGTACGGCTGTGACGAGGTGCCGACGGAGGCACCGGTGACGGGCGCTCCCGAGTGCCGGGATACGGACGGATCGTGTCAGTTCTGGGCGGAGAACGGAGAGTGTCAGAAGAATCCCAACTGGATGGGCATCAACTGCGCCCTCTCCTGCGGCACATGCGGAGGTGAGTGAGCCATATAAGGCCGACGAGGTCCAGCCTCTACCGAAACGAGTCACTGCCCTACCATTGCCAGTAGTGACTTGCTTGTTTTTAAACACGTGCAAAATATTAAATGTCGAGCAGTTCCACACTAACAATTTTTCGGGGTAGGTACCCATAAACTTTTTCAGAATGACAGCCGTCGAACAGTAACCACCGACCGACCCTTGTCCTCACTTTTTTTCCTTGGGAGCGTTCTACGGTTTACATAGACTTAGACTGACCTAACTTACCCCGCCCACAGACTGCGAGGACCGGAGTGGCTCGTGCGCCGGCTGGGCGGCCGACAACCAGTGTACCGCCAACTGGTCCTACATGAGCGTGTTCTGCCGGCGCGCCTGTGGCCTCTGCGGCGACGGAGCGATCGCCGGCTGCGGAGACACCGCCAGCCAGTGCTCCGAGTGGGCTAAGGCAGGGGAGTGCGCCGCCAACCCCGACTATATGGCAGTCCACTGCAGGAAGGCCTGCGGGGTCTGCTGAGGGCGTCGTTTTTTTACTTTTGGTATTAGTAAGTCGTTGTCTATTGATCTACGTGGTATTTTTTGGTTCAGTGATATTCATTCGAATAGGTGAATGATGTTTTATCATATTGGCAAGGTGTGGACATTCTTCCCCCACCGCGCCGTTCATATCTCTTGTTTATCGGTATCATCGCGTCGTCATTTTGTTGACGATATGTACTTTGTTGTGTTGTTATTGTGGTTATTCGGCCATAACGAGTTTTGTGCTAGATTGTAAAAATAAAGGCGCGTGCCCTCGCATGATTCTAGCACCAGTATTTTGCAGGCAAGTGCACCGTTTATAGAGAACAGGGCCTCATTTGCACATTCGAATATCTCACGACCCGCGTTATATAATTATATAATTATGCGCCTCTGCGGGAGCTCACTGTGGTGCTTCTCTGTGTCAACATTGTGTGGGAACGCGACGGGCTGTTGCGCCGCGCCCCCCTCACGCCCAGATTGTGACCCACTCCGCCCCAGTACAGGTAACCTCGCAGAACAGTCGGAGGCGCACTATCTGAACCACCACACCTACTGTTTGTGGCATCGGAACAGGCTATCGTACTTATGAACGTCAATAAAAAGTGGATAGACAGTAGCGATACAAACCCAGAATGAGCCAACCAAAGTACGGAAAGATTCGAACAGGTTTTGATTAAGCTTTGATCATGGACATTGCAAAAAAATAAAGCAAAAGTCGTTCTCCAAAACAGTGAATTATAATGTATTTGCGTGATATTAGCCAATAATTATACAAAATCGTTGAATAGTATGTCTTATCACGATTGTTGATATCACACATTTATGAACATTGGAAAGGAACTATTGCCTACCTACATAATTGCAGAGATCTACAAAGTGTAGGCATTCATAGCATGTGCGCGTTGAACGCCTAACAAACACAACCAGAGAACAGTGCTGAGAGCCTCGCAGTCTTACGAGACCGCATCCAACCCAGCCCACAAAGCAGGGTCGACAGAACGCAATCAAGGCAAAACACATTTACAGTCGGTGCTAAATGCAGCGTAAATAGCACGCCGGTCATTAAAATAACGGACCGACGTGACGCATCGAGATTCGTGGTTAAGCGTGTCGCATTGACTACCTAATACCTATTGCGGTGACCGCGCTGAGCGAAGTGGAAAGACGGCAAGCAGAGAGCACCGCGAGAGAATCCGATCCGCGAGGCCCCCTGACCGCTGGTGCGCGTAGCTAACGGACCGCTCGCTGCCGAGTCTGAGTAAAGCTGTCACCATAAGGCTGTTAGAGGTCCGGTCCTTGGACCGCTGACGCACCCTCAACACTGCCGGCAAGACCTTACGGCCAATCTCGAGCATGAGCATCTCTCGCATCGCAAAGCTGCCCGCCCCCTGTGCTACCTCTAGAAGCCCGCAGACCGTGCCGAGAGAGGCGATAGCTGGAGGCCGTTTACGCTTGTCTTATGAACACGCGGCTATGACAAACGTTCGATAGTAAGTTAAGATTATAGCGATACACTCCAGCAACCATGCATAGTACTCGGTACAGTTGAGCGCCCGTTCCGATTATCCAACAACTTCTCGATTGCCAGAATTGCACCCACACAACAGTGACACCATGCGTGTCACATTGGGTAGCTGTCAAGCGGAGACTGCGCACCAATATTGCATAAATACGACCACGTAAATAAACACGATGGCCAATGGAAAATGATTGCGTAATTGCATACTGCAACGGTTCTGCACCGATTTCGAGCCGTGCTGAGCTGACTAACGCTGCATTACATAGTAAATTCCATCGCCTGTCCCATCCGAAGCAGCATCAGACGATCTCTCAGCTAGCAGACCTAATCAAAAGTAAAAACCCTTGATAAGGCCTCCAGAGCAGGCACTGCGCGGAAAGTCTGCCTTCGCACTATTCACTGTGCGTCATTAAAGCCATTCTCCATCCGTTGGTCCGATGCTTTCCAATGCCATCTATACCGAGGCCGATCAGCAAGGTCGTCAATCCTGTAGCCCCCCGGGAGATCCGGCACCCCTTGGCGACCTGACCTCCGTGTGTTCCTCTCCTCCGCAGCGGGCCGGGGTCTATGAGGCGACTGTGCGCACGCCGGCGTCGCCCGCTCCCAGGCTGTCGGCACTCAGGTGGCACAGGGTGGTCTTCAGAGACGGCGCGTCCCCGGAGAAATACTCAGAGACGGCCGCGTGGAACAGACCCAGCTGGTTTCGCAGCACCTTCACCTGGGCGGGAAAAGATGCAAATGTGAGCCTTATAGCACCATAGGTACTCACTTACTTAGTGTTCAGATTCCATGGATCCACAGGTGTGTGTGTGGGCGGGGGGGGGGGTAACATCTGAAAAATGGGCGGTCCAACAAATTTTCAGCATATAAAATTCCGATCTACATATATTTCATGACGATATTCAGCAACCACAAAGTTAGTTAATAGCAAACATCCATTCGAACCAAACATAATAATTAATACAGCGCCGATTTAGGGCCATTACTATGCTGTAGTACACCCCTCCATCCATTCATTAAATCCAGCGAACTCATTGCAGAAGCCCGACGTACCCTGTTCTCGTCAAGCAGCGTCAGTTTGACGGTGACCTTTTCTCTCAGTCGCTGGTACTCTGCCAGCCTGATGTCGTGCTGTCGGCGGGCCTCAGCCAGCAGGCCGGTGTCGCCGCCCTGCTGTCCAGCCCACTCCAGGTCCACGCGGTACGCGTCGTACTCGACTCTGTGGAGGGAGGAGTCGGTGACGTCGCGGAACGAGTGGTAACGATACTGTGGGAGCATTAATATCCCCGTGCAAAAACAGCAACCATAAAAAGAAGAAGGTTGTAGCAAAAGCAATCACTTTCAAAAGTAAATAGCTCATCGAATAGGGCATGATAGGTGGGAAGCCAGAAAAGGGCATTCGCTAACGACCAAAAATGGTCAGAGAAACTGTCAGTTTATCGCCAGATGTCGCCCCACTTTCTTTAAGAACCTGCGTGGGATTGAATAACCAAGCGCCGGCTCCGATACAATATCCTAGTTCACATGAAGCGAGTGAGGTCCGCGGATGGACGAGTAGCCTCGCTAACTCAAACAACTATCTCAAAAGCTCAATCAAGTCCACTCACGAATGAGAACGAGCATACACACCAAACCAGCAACAGTCACGAACGAGCATCGATAAACAACACAGTCACGCCAAGCTCGTGTGACCTACTTGTAAGGGGAAGAAAAACATCCGAACCAGCGTACGATTCACGCAACATCCGCGGATTTTGCGTCTGCATTGCTTAACTTTGGCTTCTCAATAGTCCCGACAACCCGAAATTTAGCGATCGAACGGTAAAGCTCAGGCCCTGCAAACAAGTTCTTCTTAAAACGGGCTTTGACTTCGCCTATCCATCTATTCGAAATATTCCAACTAAATGTCTAGAAAAAAGGATGCGCACGAACGCTAACTATGGTCGTCTGGAGCGATCGGATTCCCCCCACCACACTCACCTGGCCGTCTCGTACGATTTGATGGTGGTGAGCGCGTCCTCGATGGTCTGTTCACACAGCGTCTCCATCGAGGAGACAAACTGAGCCAGCGCGTCGCGCAGTGGCCGACCACTCTCGTTCAGCGTGCGCTGCGCCTCGGCGTTTAGATCGAACTCCTGTCGTAGCTCGGGAGTTCGCTGCCCCAGCTGAGAGAACAGCTCACTGAGCTGCATCTGCGGAGGGAAGCGCGATGGTGAGACTGCAGTGACACCTGGCGATACGGGCTGAAAGGAAAACGGGCGAGCGGTAGGCGAAGCGAGTTGAACGGCGGTGGCGATGCGTGGGCAACCGCGAATAGCAGACGCGTCCATGATGATCAAAACTTTGATACATTCGCCACAAATTTCATTTGTTGTGTTATGATTCAAAAGTATGCAATTATATCAGACAATACAATAGGCTTCTTAACGGTGACATCAACCCACTTCTGGAACAATGATCATCACCTACCCGAACATAGTCATTGATTTTACCTGCGATGACAGCATATTGGTCAAATGTGTCGACAGCTCCTTGGCCGTTTTCATCAAGCTCCGGTATTGAACTTGGGTTTCTCGGAGGATGGCAATCTTAGCATCCAGTTCTGAAACAGTTTGCACGACAATTACACAACCATCAAAAACGGAATGGGCGACTGATGGTTCGCATGACATTGCCACTGCAACGACGTCGAACCTAGACAGTAGGAGCAAAAATGGGTTCGTAGGATGACGTTAGACACTTCAAGTCAGCAAAAAGGAGCTCGTAGAGATGATTTCGCGACCTAATTCGCTAAAAACATCGAACAGACTTCGAAGAGACACACATCAGCTCGCCATTGGTGTTGCTGCATTAAACTAACCCCATTATCCCAGTCCCACCATCTGCAGCACCATCACTATCCGAGTCCCAACACACCCTCATCACTCACCGGCGTCCACGGTGCGTGTGGAGCGTCCCAGCCGCTCGGCAATCAGCTGACGGGAGCACTTGTACGTGGAGATGCTCCAGGCCTTGAGCGACTCAAGTTTGTCGTATACGGTGGCGGAGTGGCGGCGGACCGACGAGCCGGGACTGATGGTGCGGCCCGGCGCTGCGGTTACGAAGGAGGAGGTCATAAGCGGCAGTGCTGGAGGGGCCAGGGGAATGTAGTAGGTCGCTTGTCAAGCTTCATTTATCTTTCCAAGTATTCATGAATGCAACTGTAGCCAAGAACCATAAGCACTCTCACTAGTGCTTCGAGTGTCAAACAAGAGATATGGACGCGATTCCTGGCAACATAACACAAATATAATTAATACCACCCACTTTGGTCTAATCTAAATCACGTCATAATCCCCGCTCGCCAATCCAGTCAGATGTCGCCACTACTGTCCCACCATGAACACAAACATCAGCAATGACTTGAGATGTCATGGCACCGCAGTCCACCTGTGACCTCAGAGCTCTCACTTGTGACCTCAGAGCTCTCACCTGCGACCTCTGGAGTCCTGGCGCCGTTCAGGGTCGGTGTGGGAGGCGCCGGGCCCGTGAGTGGCGCCGTGGTTCCGAAGGTGGCTGGGTCGGCCCAGTCATCCAGTGCCGACCGCTCCCCCAGTTCAGCGACCGGCGGGGCGGGGTCGTACGTCTCTGCCGGCGGGGCGGACCCATACCCGCCTGCCGGAGGGGCGGAGCCGTACCCGCCGGCCTGCGAGGACGAGCCGTAAGCCCCGGTCTGCGCGGACAGCGGGGGGAAGCGCGGTGGCGCCGGGTCGGAGACGATCGGTGGAGTGTCACCCAGCTCCACGTCCTCCGTGTCGCTCAGATCATCGATCGCCAGCGGCAGACGCTCCCCGTATGTCGCCATCTGCAGATGGAATACCAACACTGAATTATAATACTGGTACATGGCTTATCTGATACACATGTTCAATGCTACCTGCAATTTTGCTCGTTTGTGTAGACTTATGGTGCAGTGACTGACTAGTGTCATTTCGCAGCCTACTATGTTGTGTGGTTAATGGCTATCTGTACTGTAATTAACTCACTGAGGCTTTGATAGCATATTCCAACCAGAGCTTGGTATCACAATGTGGAGTGCAAAGTGTCAGGGAAGCTAAGTGACAGTGTTTTAACATAAGAATTGCAAGACTGGGCAACTGGGTGCGCCAAGGAAAATGCAGCTAAGCAAGTCATGAATTAATAAAATACTGAACTAGTCACTCATAAATCAAGGCTGAAATCAAGAAAACCTGTCATATCACAGCCTGATCAGTGGAGTAGGTGGCTGTCTTTTTTTTTGCAAGCACCTGGCTACCTCCAAGATAAGTTACTTACCTATCTGCACTTAGTTTGTCAGACAAGAAATATTCCAAATATCAAAAAATAAAAGCTCAAATTTTACAGAAATATAAGTATGTGCTCATTGTAGACTGTATCAGTATATGGCATCAGGAGTCTGCCTTCTATTGGCAAGTAAGAAGACAAATATACCTAATGACAAAATAAGGTGCATTGGTAAATAGGAAAGCCTGAAAACAATTGCAGAACAGCTTAACCTAAAATATTTCATTCAACCCCTGCCTGAAATCTCTCATATCCCATCTAATTGTAATGCAGCTGGCAGTGGCAAGCAGTCATCCCATCATTGCTGCAATTACTTCTTATTATCCCCTCCAACACATTTAATACCATATTTACATTTACACATTTATTCTTGGTGCAACATAATGGCTGGCTAATGCTACCTACATTTTGTGGGCTATTCAAAACAAAAATAGAAGATCTCAATAAAATAGCAAAGCAAAATGTATCCCAGGATTGATGGATGACCATTGCAGTTTATCCAAATTCTGAAATCTGAACACAGGTTTATCCTGAAAATGCTGTTCAAAATGACCTTAAATAAGTCACATGCTAGTTTAAAGGATATTATATACATACCACTTTCCTGAATAAAGTTTTAGCTACAGTTTTATTACCTATTTTCAAAAAAGGACAAAAAATATAAACAAAAGAATCTGGAAAATACTTTCATAGATGAAGAACTATTTACCATCTTTGGTAGAGGCTTAACTGGGTTTGCAGCAGAAGCTTATTTTAGGCATTATCCAATGATATTGATATTGCATAGGTAGTTCACCTGCGGCGTTGGATGTGATGCTTGTTAATGAAAAGAGCCCGTGAAAGGCGTCGGTAAAATCGTGTTCAAAGCCGACTGCAAGCTGCATGGTTGAAGTTTGCCTCTGCAAGAGGTGGCTACATTCTTGACATAGGTACTTCTGTAAGGCACCACCTTCCCACTTAACAGCTTAGGGCACTGATTTTAGAACAAGAAGTGGAATATCTTTGCCTACACAGTACACATACAGTGACCATTGTGAATTGATTGGGTCGTCAATGGTCTTGATTTTTCTGCTTGATGATATATGTAGGTACAAAGACTTCCAAAATAAGTATATCACAACTAAATATCTAAAATTCAGTTCAGCCAACAGAAACACGCCACACCAACACTTACACGGTAGTTGTAAATGCTTTACGACTACCCACTTACACTAATCTTGATCTTCTTGCAAAAGCTGGGGTCGCACCTTTTGTTTGCTTTGCTGAAAACTGAAGCTGTTTAAGAAAATTACATATAACAATATCACACTTTGAGCAGCATTCAGACTCCCGCCTTCCCAATTTACAAAAATTGAAACCAGTAGGCAACGCCTATTACAGCGATAAATTGAAATCAAAAACGAAACTCAACATCGTTTGGGGATTGGGACTGTGCGATTTGCAAGGGCATTGTTTATAGTTATGTTCAGTCCACGAGACGCTCGCAGTACCACTGCTTACAAAATTAAGTGACGTCAGGAATGGGAAATCTGAGCAATCAATCGAATTTCTGATTTTATTGTATTTCTAGAAAAGAACATGACCTTTAATTAAATACAAAAAATCTTCAGAATCAATTCATCAACGAATCCTAAGCCATTTATTCATCAAAAGCTGAAGAAATCGACACTGTGAAATTCAGCAGCGGCTCACCGATTGGTCAGAAGAATAGGAGAAGTATCATTGAGGTGCATCCGGTGCATCGAAAGAGCACGATTTCGTTGCTGGCTGTCATTTCTGCGCAACAACCGCCGCATACGGACGAATGGCGGTGATTCAACACTCAACAAATTGATTCCAATTTGTCGAGTGCATTCAATTTATTCACGATTTGATATAGGGCTTAAATTTTCAAAATTCGTATTTTCATGCGTTTCGGTGAAAATAATGCGGCCTATAAAGGAGCCACGGTAAAGCACAGCACAACAGCTAAACCGTAAGAATTAGATATACTGAATGGTCAATGGAGTGCAATGCAATGAAAAGCGGAGGCTACTGCTCTGACTTCATATTGGCTTCTTCATTATTCATTATCTTATCATTTGCCGTGAACTTGACACCCTTCGTTGAATACCCGAGCCAAAATTGCATCGTTTCTTGATCTTTGCCTTGTGACTTTGTTATACTATGATATTGAATGTGTGTAACAACTAGCATGAGATATGATGAATCGCCTTTTATTCCCTAGGTCTATGGACGTTGGACTGGACTACTCAGCTCAGCAAGTGCCCTCAGCTGGAAACTTGACTGGATGCACGCCACCTCCGGACCAACGACTTCCAACATGCTTCTTAACGGCTTCCTGTTTGTCTGCCGTACCGCGCTACTGTCCCGCGCCGGCCGCCCCGTTGCAGCGCTCCCCGCTCCGTCCAGCGGCCGCGCGACGCGTCACTCCCCCAGCGATCGGCCAGTGCCCCGCCCCTGTCTGGACCGGCGGCGGCCGCCCCTCGCGCGATGACGTCACTCAGCGGAGCGCCGCAGCGCCGTGCCACGGCCGGCGGCGGCGGCGGCGCTGGCGTCGAGGTGGCGGCTGGCGCACTCGACAGCCGACGGTCGGAGGGTGAGCGGTGTGGCCGTGTGCAGCGCGAGACAGAGCAGTGCCACCAGCAGCAGCCATGGCCAAGCGTAACATCCCCGTCAAAATGGGCGACTTCAGCATCATCGACACAGAGTTCAGCAGCATCCGCGAGCGGTTCGACGCCGAAATGCGCAAGATGGAGGATGAGATGAACAAGTTCCGCTCGGAGCTAATCAGCCGCGAGATGCCGTCGATGGGGCAGAGCTCAATCACCTCCAGGTAAGGGACGGACCGGCACTGTTCCGGTGCCTTTTGACCATATCGCCTTGCCCTCACTCCCTTGCCGTGCTGTGCTGTGCTATGTCGTTTGACGGTGGCTGTGCGGAGGCCGGCGGCAGCTGGCGGAATGTGGCTGTGACCCCGGTCGAGCCGCGGTCCCGCCCGGCCCGGTCGGCCGGTCGGTTGGTCGGTGCCCGGCCGGCCGCCGGCGGGTGGCACGCGGCCAGGCGGCGGCGGCCGGCACGGCTGCCAACACCCCTGCCAGGGAGCCGGCGGGCGGCAGGCGCGTCTGCTCGGCTCGGTGCGGCGGCCACTGCCCGACCGCCGCCCCCGCCCATGGCCTCTGCCGACGGCCGCCGCCGCCGTCGGCCGATGTCGAGGTCGTCGGAGATCGATTCTGGTAGTGGCGCGCCCCGCCCCCTCGGCCGGTGCCGGTCGTAACCGCCCCCTCCCGAGCTCCCCCTAAGGCAGGGGCGGTACGGGCGCCGAAGGGGGCAGACCGTCTTTGTTCGACCGTCCCGCTGCGCCGACCCCGGCAGGGGATGGGCAGCTAGATACGGGGCCGCCGTTTCTGCTCCCCATCCTGCGGACACGGGAGACGAGAGACCGGCTATCTGCTCCGTTCTATTCGGCGGCCTGCAGACCGTTATGGTCAAAGCACCGCTCGAAACACCCCTTTGTCCGAACCCACATTCAGTTGATGTGTTTCTCTAGCCGTAAATCTTTCATAACGTCGTCTGCTCGTGTTCCGGCGGCAAAAACACGCGTGTTTACGTGCTCTCGCTCTACTTGGTCCCCGCGACCGGACCCGTGCCAGTCGCCAGTTTGTAACATATACAGAACGGGCTTCACTAATAAGGAGAAACGTCTCGCTGAGCCGCTCAGTGGTGTGAAAACGCCTCGCTCAGTGCCAGTGGCTGGCTATGTGGCGTGTCGGACCCTCGCGTGGCTCGCGATTTGCATTACAGAGGATTACGAGTTTGTTTTCCTTCGGTACCCGTCTGAATTGGATTGTATACTACTGACCGTTATTTTATTCCATTGTAGTAGGCTCAAGTGGGTATTAGGTATACGCGATTGTAAAAGAGAGGAAGTTCTCACCTCAGTTTGAATGAGCAGAACTGTTTATTTCCTGCCGGAAATCGCAGCTGGCACAATCCAATGTTATTGACTATTGACCTCATGATAGACGATTCTTAGGGTTTTCCTCAGCAAAACGTGTAGTTTGGTTTTAACCTAATGGCTCTGTTGGTGCAGTCTGATAAATGATTGGTACCACATCAAGTATCTTTACAATAGGACATGAAATTTAATTTTCTCGTCTAGTTGCTCAATCAATAACTAACGTCGGCGGCCACCAACATGCGTCTTTGACGTTCGTCTGACTTTGCGAACGTCGTGGGTGAAGTCCTCTAACATCCGACAGGTGAAGCCCTTCCGCTTCCCTTGAGACACTCAGGTCGTGTGTCGATCGGACAAGAGTAGCTCGACAAGCAGCTGGGACGAGCGCCGCTAAACGCTCCCGCCCCGCCGAGCGAGAGGACAGTCAGTTCATTAGTGGTCCATTGTACGGATGAGGCGTGCTGCCTTCCTACCGACCGATAGGTCGACCGGTCAGAGGGAGGTCAAACTGTCTCTGGCGAGGTGAACAGGTCATGCCACTGGCGCTTCAGAGATAAATAGGCGTGCAATGTGTCGAAACGAAGTTTAAGCGCTTAGCGCACCCTGTCTGACCAAGTTCTGCTCACTGCTGTCAGTCACTCCATCAAAGGGTATGTCTGGAACGATGGGCCGCTTCTTGGTCTCCCTACATTGTTATGAGACATGGCAGTGTAGGTACGAAAGGCGAGCGAACACGGTGACTTAAGTAACTCCTTGGACGGTATCGCGGAGCCTTGGCGCACCCAGTGCCCCCTTTCCTTGCTAGTCGCGGGCGGTTGACGTTGGGATATGCAGGAGAGTGGAAAGACCTCTCGAGAAGCCCCCGGCCCACGACCTTCCATGATGTCACGACTGTGTTAGTGGAGGCCGCCTCACACAGCCAAATTGGCAGTTTGCGATCCAGAATGACCCTAGATAATACTTGTTCGACGGGTATGTAATCAAATGAGTCACGGAACGCCAGCGAATTGCTGCACCGGCCCGGACTGGGGGCGTCTGCACTGGGGCCTCAAACCGGCTTCATTCAATGATTGGGACATCATCTCGTGAATGTCCGGCATAGGTCATGAGATAGGGTGATGGGACCTAGACGTGACATCACGGTAGGAACATCACGCAGTGAGCTGAGTTGATTAATTGACAATTACCTACCTACTTACTACTTAGCCCATAAAATGTGCCATTGTGGTCATTCTTTGTCTTTTTAGCTTGTTCTTCATAAGCTGCTCATACATAGCTTCAATTAGCAAGAATAGTGAGTTCCTTTTAACTAAACCCCGATGGGAAGTCACTGACCCTCTGCTCTCCTTCGTTCCTCTACCCGCCCTTGTCATGCTGAGCGCATACCTGTTCATCCTTTGCCGCGCCCCACCCTGTGGCCATGACGTCACACGGTCGTGTCGTGTTGGCAGTGGCACTCGCTCCGCCGGCCGGCTGGGCGTTTCCAGACCTTTCTCTCACGCGCTCTCCGCCTGTCCGTCCGTCTGTCCGCCCGTCTTTCCGTCCGCCCGTCTGCCTGTCTGTCCGTCTGCTCGCCGTCCGTGACAATCCCCGCTCGGCGCGGCGTGACGTGATGTGATGGTTCACCGTGACTGCCCGGCGTGACGGTCAATCACGCAGTCTGCGTTTTTTTTTTTCGCTGCAGTCTGCACTGTTTCTCGTTGCAGTCGTCAACGGCTTTGGTTGATTTCTTTAGATTCTTGAACAACGGCATGCCGAAGTGACTATGCTTGTGAGTGAGCCTCTTCCAACTACCATCCAGTCTGTCCGATGTCTGCGTGTTTCAGATCTATTCCATGCCCTGAGGTGCGTCCCACTGCCTGATCCCAGACTAACCGGTCGCGTAGTGCCCAATCAGCCGCCTGATCCCGTCTGTCTCTCGCACGCTGCCGGACGCCGCTGCGCGCTCTCAGGAGTCGCACCTCCGAGTACCACCGGATGGTTGACGGTAAGGAGGAGGAACACCAGCGGGAGACCTCGGAGACGTTCAGCCGGCAGCGCCGGGACCCGGCGTCGGCGAGCGAGGCGGCGCGCCGTCCTCCGCCGTCCGCCGGCGGCAGCCGGATGACCACCGAGCTGACCATGCGGCACACGAGCACCTCCCCTGCCGGCGCGGCCAGCCGGACCGAGCAGCCGGCCGGCCGGACGGCGACACGGCAGGGCAGCGGGACGCCCGGCAGCGGCGGAGGAGGCGAGCGTCCCTCCGCTCCGTCCTCCCAATCGGCCTCTCGCAGCTCCAGGTAACGCCCGGTGCCGGGGCCGGCCGCGGAGCATGCGGGCTCAGGCCGCCGACCGGACGCTTCAAGTCTGATCGGTGATTGATGTCAGCTTTCTGTTTGGTGGTCGTTGTATATAGATTCATTTTTATTTTCTGGATGCTCGATGTTCGCTGTTCTCTAGAAGTGCCGGTGTGTA